TTTTTTCTATAACTAAATTCAATTCGGTACCTCCTAATTAGACGGAATAGATTACAAGTAGTGAAATTTTATTTCAACATTTGTTATAATGTTTTTTATCCTCTTTTGATGGAATTTAAGGAATAACCAAATATTATAGTCTTTTTGAAGTTTTGTTTTACCTTGTCCTGGTGATTTTTTTTGTTTTTTGAGACAGAGTCTCACTCTGTTGCCCAGGCTGGAGTGCAGTGGCGCCATCTTGAATCTTGGCTCACTACAACCTCTGCCTCCCAGGTTGAAAGTATTCTCCTGACTCAGCCTCCCTAGTAGCTGGGAATACAGGTGCACGCCACCATGCCCAGCTAATTTTTGTATTTTTAGTAGAGACAGAGCTTCACCTTATTGGCCAGGATGGTCTCGATATCGACCTCATATCTGCTGGCCTCAGCCTCCCGAAGTGCTAAGATTACATGTGTGAGCCACCAGGCCTGGCCATCCTGGTGATATTTTATAAATCACAACCCATTGCTGGAAGAAGAACATGACTATGTCAAAACTTGTTGAGCACCAAAGTACCTTCTCTGTGTATCTGTATTTCATTTTATTCTGTCTCTGTGCTCTGTGCAATACTTAAATTACTGAACGTGCATTAACGAGAACTAGTTGATGATAGTCCAGATCTTCTGTACTAGTTTTTTTCTAAGTTCGAAACTTAATTTTACTAGAAAAGATATAGAGATGCTCACAAATATTATAAAGATAGTTACAAAAACATAAACTACTGAGTACCATTACTCTGATTAGTCATATAATCAGAAATATAAAGAAATATATAGAAATATAAATCTATATATTTGGTTTAAATAGTTATTTAATCTTATTTTAAAGAATATGACACAAGCAAGTAGGTATTTGGATGGGCAGAGTCAAGAATATGGTTGATTTAATTAATTTGAATGCTTATATCTCATTTGCTTTATTTAGGAGTTGAACATATTACGTGGAAACCTCTCATTTTCATACTTATTAAGAAGACAGATGTCTTGTTCACTCATAACATTGGATAGATACAGAAATAGATGAAAGAGTTATAAGATGACTATAGTTAAGAATGAGGGCTCTGGAGCCCAATAGGTTGGGGCTGATTTTTCACTCTTCCTTTTGGTAGTCATGTGACCTTGAGCATATACTGTGCTTCAGTCTCTGTGCCTCAATTTATCCAGCTATGAAATGGAAATTATAGTTAGGCTTGCCATGAGGATTAAGTTAATACATGTGGCTGGGCCCGGTGGCTCAAGCCTGTAATCCCAGCACTTTGGGAGGCCGAGGCGGGTGGATCACGAGGTCAAGAGATCGAGTGAAACCCCATCTCTACTAAACATGGTGAAACCCCATCTCTACTAAAAATACAAAAAATTAGCTGGGCCTGGTGGCGCATGCCTGTAATCCCAGCTACTCAGAAGGCTGAGGCAGGAGAATTGCCTGAACCCAGGAGGCGGAGGTTACGGTGAGCCGAGATCGCGCCATTGCTCTCCAGCCTGGGTAACAAGAGCGACACTCCGTCTCAAAAAAAAAAAAAAAGTTAATACATGTAAAGCACTTCAAGCATCGCCTAACACAAAGTATTTAATAAATATTCACTATCATACTTATCAATTACTAATAAATTGAATATTAAATGTAATGTTTCTAACTACTCTGAATGAACTTAATTTCAGTTTATAAGGCCAAGAAGTAAGCATGATAATATGTTTCTTGAGGCCAGAAGTCAAGGATGAAATGTCATTTGAATAATGAAAGAAACACATGTATCTGGTTATTTCATATATCTCTTCTTTTTTAAATGTGTTAAGATTCTTCTTAATTAGCACATTATATAAAGTAGAATTTAAATATTAAGGTTGAAATATTTTTTTCAGTGCATTCATTGCAATATTCTATCTTTAAAATGAATTAAGAATTCAGTTTTAAAAAGATATTTTAATGAAGATAGATATGTTAGGCAGACTCTTTCTATTGGTTGCAAAGATAACAAAAGGGGTAAGATTAAGCAAAGCTTGTTCAAAAATAACAAAGGAAGATGATTAACTTTATTCTGAAAGAAACCTTTTTTTATGATTAGACTTTAGAGGTCATATATCACAGTTCTGGAAACTTGTTTGCAAAGTACTGGTATGTCCTTAGAATTCACAAAATTTGATTAAATGCATATTTCTGGTTGGACCATTATGCCTATGTTAGCTGGTTCTCTTGATTTCACCTGCCAGCAAAATGAAGTGAAACATGGAATCATTACTTCATGTATAACAAATGCAATCCCAGGGAAGGAACTCTGAAAATGATAGGATTTCCTTGACTGAAGACTGTGCCAGCACTCCTTAACAAGCTATTCACCATGCAAATGAACAATGGAGTCCCACACTGAAACAGCTGTTAACTACATAAAACTGTTAAGGAGATTAACAGTGCCAGAGGCTGAAAAGTAATCAGGCAGGTGAAACAGTGATAAGATAAATATTCCTGTGTGAAATAGAAATAATGTTTAATTAATTTATTTTTATACTGCTGCAGCACCTGAGTTTAGAATTCTTGTGAAATATACTAAACTTTAAAACATATTTTCTTTCTCTGTGAAAGGTATAGAAAGTTAGAGACTCAGCCAGGCGTGTTGGCTCTCTCCTGTAATCTCAGCATTTTGGGAGGCTAAGAAGGGCAGATTGCAAGGTCAGGAGTTTGAGACCAGGCTCACCAACATGGTGAAAACCCCATTTCTACTAAAAATACAAAAATTAGCTGGGCGTGGTGGCATGTGCCTGTAATCCCAGCTACTCAGGAGGCTGAGGCAAGAGAATCTCTTGAACCCAGGAGGTGGAGGTTGCTGTGAGCTGAGATGGCACCATTGCACTCCTGCCTGCTTGACAGAGCAAGACTCTGTCTCAAAAAACAAGAAAAGAAAAGAAAGTTAGTGACAAACAAAATGGGATGGGATACCTTATCTGGAATTTTTTGTTTTTTTGATATTTCAGTAGACTTGATTATATTGTAATTTACAATTATGGCAATTAAAGGTCAGCTGCCCAATTACTGTTTCTAAAGTTTGGCATCATACAATGTGAAAGTAGAGTACAGATAGAGAAATGTTCAAAGTGCAGCTGACATTGGGATGTTTCTACCTTTGGTCCTGGAAAGAAATGAGAAGAAAGATGTTGTATGGAAAATGCATACAGGTATTTCCCAATATTCTGGTTTGCACATGAAACTAAGCTAAAGTGTGTTATGGGTCATTCATAAAAACATTCCTATTAATTTACTGAATGAATTCATGATTGCTCTTTTTAGGGGATGTGTATATGTGTGTGTTTATGTGTTTGTGTATATATGTGGGTTTTAATAATTTCAGAAGTATATCTCCTTCACTTCATCTGCAGGAGCTTATAATTGTTACATTTTATACACTGATTTCTAAATCCAAGTGTAATATAAGCTACACTGTCTGAAAAATATTCACTCAAGGCATAGTGCTAGTCAGAGGCATAATCTGTAATGTTTTTAAGAAATAAAAGCCATTTGAGATTTAGAATTATAATTTGGAAGATTCTGTTGTGCACATAATTTTTTTTTTGCTTTCCCCACATGCTTCAGCCACATGCAACAAACTGATGTTTGTAACATAGCCTGTTGTCCCTATAGTCACTAATACTGTTAACAAAAAAAATCATATTAACAGATTATGTTTGTGTTGACATCTCTATTTTTAATCTATTTTTTAAAATTACACTGATGGTTTTTAAACCAAGTATGTTAACATATTTTTAAGCTAGTCAAAAATATTAGCATTAACCTTAAAAACATTGAATATCAATCAGTGTGATTTGTTATTTTTTGGAAGTCAACAGATTGTATTAATGTGTCTTAAATTGGTAGAGAAGAAATTTGCAAACAGGTATAATCTAATATTCTGAATATTAAATAGGCACACACTCAAATATATTTTAATGCAATCTTTTAATGTTGTAGAATTAAATATTTTTAGGGTGAGACTCAAAGATCTTAAGATACAGCTTTATGTTTAAGATATCTGTTTTCTGAGAAGTAAAGGATTATGTAAGTGAGACAGTATACAAGGAAAATCTTTAAGCAGGAAAATTAATTTTTCTTTATTATTTCATTATCACTCCTAACAATTTCTAAAAAATTAACTTAGTATCTTTTATACAAAATATTCCCCCAATATACAAATTACCAGAGTTGTGCTAGAAATTGTGAGAAAATGATGACAAAATAATATAAAAAGATATTTATATTTTAGAATCATACAATAAATTATACTCATTCACATACCCACATGATTATGAGGAAGAAAAACCACAGCAAACTTTATTTTATTGGGTAAATGAGGATTAAAATACAAAATAACAAAGAGTATTGGCAGAAACTGTGCTTCATGAAACAAATAAAATTGAAAATTTCTTCAGCTTAGGCAAAAATAAACTTGAAATATTCTTGTCTGATGCCAGATAACCTGTGTGATGGATGCTTTCTTAAAAGTATGAGAGGCAGGTGGAAAACTAAAACATTAATTAGAGTATTATCAAGAAGAGGCAGCTACTAAAAATGAAAATAAATTTTGTGAAATGTTATTTGTTTAAATATTACAAAGTCATGAAGAAGTTTAACACAAATGATCCCTACTTTTACTATCTATAGGAAAATCTGAATGTCAAACAAAAGCAAGAAAATAAATCTCATAATGTAGGCTTTGTATAAGACTTTATTTTCATTTATACTCAGTTTAGAAGAGAGAATCTCCATAGTTTGGTTTCTCCTTTGAATAGATCTTTGACTTACTCTAGAACTAGCATACAAAGTTAATTTATTCTTCTTTGAAATTTCTTGGTTTCTTTGGCTCTTGCAGAGTGAAATTTCACTTTTTAATCTTTCAGCTGATTAAGCCATATAACCAAGTTTCTTTAAGTTACTGAATATTAAGCCATCATTTGTCCTTTTCCTTTTTCTTTCAGGAAGTTGATGGCAATAAAGTTATGTCTTCATTTGCCCCACACAACTCATCTACCTCACCTCAGAAGGCAGAAGAAGGTGGGCGACAGAGTGGCGAGTCCTTGTCTAGTACAGCCCTGGGAACTCCTGAACGGCGCAAAGGCAGTTTAGCTGATGTTGTTGACACCTTGAAGCAGAGGAAAATGGAAGAGCTCATCAAAAACGAGCCGGAAGGTAAAGGCTGGAAAAGAAAACAAAGTTGGTGCTGTGTCCTGATTTTCATACTTTGATTTTAACTTCCTAATTCGTTTTTTCATTTCCTTTTTTAAAGTTAGGTTGGACAAAATGGAAACCTATTGCTATGAAGATAGATCATATAATTTTTCAGAAACACTTAAGCCTGTCTCAGTTTTTTAAGTCATTTATGTATGTTGTGATATTATTTTCACATCTGAGTAAAGTAGTTGAGTGAAAAAGATTCAGGAATCGAGTGTGGCAGTGGAGCTGGGAATAGTCACCTACTTGCCAAATATCTGCAGTCTAGTTTGTTTCTCTTTATTTATTTATTTTTTTTTTCCCTGAGGACCAATGTAGAATTTTACTACATTTTGTAACCTTTGCATGTTAATACATCTTATCCTACCTTGATAGTTAGGTCCGTTTCTTAGATAGTCCCAAATTTATATATTTACAAATTAGTGATTCTTTAACTTTTAGGTATGTTTAACTTCCTATTTTTTCAACTTCCAAAAAGTCTTTTAAGATTTCATTCTGTAAGTCTCTTTAATAGTTACTGATAGGAGCCTTCAGATGATATGGACATGGACTAATCTTAAAATTAAAGCAAATAAACCAATAAAATAACTGATGCAAATTGTACAAACTTAGGCATAATTGACAATCATCCTTTAGGTTATACATGCTTACTAACTGCTATTTAACCCTCTGTCCATCCTAAGCATGGGTGCCATATTGCACGCAAGAACATACCTCCTGTTTCAATCAGATGAAAATTTCAAACAAGCAAACAATGTTGTGCACACATACTGTATAGCAAAAACACACTGCATGTGTACTGTGTAACAATAAGTTGGGCTCATTTCTAGTCTGCTTGGACACTGGTAAATTATGAGGATATCTGACACAAAATGTATGTTAACCTATATATTTGACAGTCGTGTGAGAATTAAATATTTCTGAGTCCTTACCATATTCATAGCTGGGGACCTGGATTTTGGTTAAAATTTATGCAGTTCTCATGATCTGAGAATTGGAAAGAATTTTAGAGATATTCTTGTCACCCAAAGACTTTGGATACTTTGTTACATGCTCTCCCATTCTCATGGAGATAAAACTGGAGAGTTGAGGGGAACCCAGACAACCTTATTTTTTTTTAATGGATTTTTTTCTAATATTAAACATAATACAGTTTTATAATAATTATTTTAAAAACATAAAATATTATAAGGAAGGAAATAAAAATCACCTGAAGTCATAGCTATTCCTGTGTGAAATAGCAATAATGCTAAATTAATTTCTTTTTATACTGCTTCAGAAACTGAGTTTAGAATACTTGTGAAATATGCTAAACTTTAAAAAATAGTTTATTCTTCTTTGAAAGAGTTAGAAAGTTAGAGATGAGAAAATGGGATACCTTATCTGAATTTTTTTGATATTTTTGATCGTTTCATAGACCTGGTTGCACTGTAATTTTTTGCATGAAGTCCTAGCTGCAGGTGATTTTTATTTTTTTCCTTATAATGTTAATATGAGGTTAATAGGATTCTTAACCTTAGGATGTGTTTTTTAATCTTGATTTTTATTATATTCTGCTAATTTTTTATGATTAGCTTTATGCAAACGGTTCCCAACTTACAATGGATCCACTAGGATTTTCTACTTTAAGATGGTGCAAAAGCACTACATGCACAGTCAAACCATACTTCAAATTCTGAATTTTAATCATTTCCTGTATGCAGTAGGATACTCTCATTGCTGGGTAGTGGCATGGAGCCATAGCTCCCAATCAGCCACGTGATCAAGAGGGTAACAACTATACTCTACAGTATATTGTGTTGCCAGATGATTTTGCCCCATGGTGGGCTAACAACCTGTGTTCTGAGCGCATTTAAGGGAGGCAAGGCTAAGTTATGATGTTTAGTAAGTTAGCTGAATTAAGTGCGTTTTTGACTTAATGATATTTTCAACTAACAATAGGTGTAATGATATAACACTATTATAAATCTAGGAGTATCTGTACTTTTAAAATATTGTGCTACTTTTTTTGCTTAGAATTATAGTATGAGTGTGTCTTCTGCCAAGTAATATACTTTGAAAAGAAATGACTGCCAAGGCCTGCACAGTGGCTCAAGCCTGTTATCCCAGCACTTTGGAAGGCCAAAGTGGGTGGATCACCTGAGGTCAGGAGTTCAATACCAGCCTGGCCAACATGGTGAAAACCCATCTTTACTAAAAACACAAAAATTACCCAGGTGTGGTAGAACGTGCCTGTGGTCTAAGCTACTCAGGAAGTCAAGGAAGGACATTGCTTGAACCTGGGAGGAGGAGCAGTGAGCCAGGATTGGGCCACCATACTCCTGCCTGGGCGACAGAGCAAGACTGTCTCAAAAAATCCTTAAATAAATTTTAAAAAATGATTGCCAAATAGTCTACAGTATGGCCATTATTAACCTTTGTAATTCATACATTCACTTTATTTAAAAAAAAAACAGTTTTAGATTTATGGAAAAATTAAGCAGATAGTACAGAGTTCCCATGTATTCCATCCATATACACAGTCTCCTCTCTTATTAACACGTTACATTAGTATGGCATATTTGTTAAAATAATGAACCAACATTGATATGTTATTATTAACTAAAGTCCAGAGTTTATTTAAACTTCATTAGTTTTACCAAGTGTGCTTTTTCTGTTTTGAGATACCATCAAGGGTAACACATTATACATACTTGTCATGTCTTCTTACGCTCCTTTTGACTGTGACAGCTTCTCAGAATGTCTTGTTTTTGATGACCTTCAGAGTTTTGAGGAGTACTCACTCTTCAGATATATTACAGGATGTCTCTCTATTGGAATTTGTCTGATGTTTGTCTCAGTCAAATGAGTTTTGGAGTTTTGTGAGGAAGACCACAGAAGTAAAATATCATCTTTGTCACCTCATAACAGTTACATACTTTCTTTGTAATTAAGAATGTTGGCATTGACCTTGATCATTGGCTGAAGTAGTGTTTTGCAAGTTTCTCCACAGTAAACTTGCTCTCTGTCCGTTTTCTACACCATACCCTTTGGAAGGGAGGAGCTCTGTGCAAGCCACACTTAAGGAATAGGAAGTTATGTTACTAGAGCTGCAGTATCTACATAATTTATTTGGAATTTTCTACATGGGAGATTTATCTCTTCTCTACCATTTATTATTTCATTTAATCATTTTTTACATCAGTATGGACTCACAAATATTTATTTTATATTTTGGGTATCATTTTACATACCACCATTGTGGTTGTGATAATGATGATTATTATTAGTTTAGCACTTTTCTTTCTGACACTGTAAGATACTGAGGGCTCATTTTGTACATTTCTTGCTCCAGTGCTAGAATCATCCATACCTCCAAGAACCTCTGGCTCCTTTTACTGGAGAATGATATTAGAATGCAAGATCTAAATGCTAGGTATACTCCTTACTTCAGAGGTATCATTTCTTTTAGGGTTCTAAGTTGACAGAGCAATGAAAATATATGTATGTATACTAACCTACATATGTATATATTTATAAATATTTCTATGTTTATATTTCAACCCAACTGGGGAAATACCTAGGAATGTGAATGCTGGAATTTATGAGAGGATTATGTTTTAGCCTTGTAAGAAACTGGCGTACTATCTTCCAAAGTGGCTATAAGATTTTGTATTCCCACCAGGAATGAATGTAAGTTTCTACTGTTTCACATTCTCATCAGAATTTGATATTGTCAGTTTATTTTATTTTATTCATTCAAATAGATGTGAAGTGGTATCTCATTTATTTAATTTGTTCTAATTTTAAGCAGTGTTCAGTATCTTTCTGTATGTTTCTATCCCTTTGATGAGGTGTCTGTTTAGATCTTTTGTTGATTTATTAACTGCATCATTTTCTTAACAATGAGTTTTTAGAGTTCTTAGTATATTTTGAATACAAACTCTGTCAGTAATATGATTTGCAAATATTTTCTACCAGTCTATGGCTTGTGTTTGCATTGTCTTAACATGGTTTTTGAGGAATAAACATTTTAATTTTAATGAAATTGAATTAACTTTTTGCATGGATTATGCTTTTGATGTCTGTAAGCAATCATCATATAATCGAGGGTCACTTAGATTTTCTCCTATCTTGTCTTTTTAAAGTTATATAGTTTTTCATTTTACAGTTTAGGTCTATGATCCCTTTTGATTTAAATTTTATAAAAAGTAGTTCTGTGACTGCCTTCATTCATTTTTTGTTTGCATATAGAAGTCCAATTATTCCAAGACCATTTGTTAAAAAGACCATTGTTTCTCCATTAACTTGCCTTTTTCCTTGCCAAAGATCAATTGAATGTATTTGGGTGGATCTATTTCTGCTTTCTGTATTTTGTTCCATTGATCAGTTGGTCTGTTTTCTTGCCAGTAACATGCTGTCTTGATTACTGTATCTTGATAATAAGTCTTGAAGTTGGATAGTGTTAGCCCTCCAACTTTCTTCTTTTTCTTCAATATTGTGTTGGTGTCCTGGGTCTACTGCCTTTTCTTAGAGACTTTAGAATCACTTTGTTGATATCCACAAAATAACTACTTGGATTGTATTAGGGTTGTGTTACACCTGTAGATAATGTTGGGAAGAACTGACTCCTTTAAAATAACAAGTTTTCATATTCATGAACACAAATATCTCCCTATTTATGAAGATCTTCATTGATTCCTGTTGAGTTTCATAGTTTCCTCATACAGATCTTAAACATACTTTGTTACATTTGTACTACTATTTTTTGGTGTAAAAACTTAAATGTAAATATAAATTATAGTATTTTTAAAATTTTTTAATCTTTTCAATATTTTTATTTTTATTTTTATCCTACTTTAAGTTCTGGGGTACATGTGCATAATGTGCAGGTTTGTTATAAAGGTATACATATGCCACGGTAGTTTGCTGCACCCATCAACCCATCATCTACATTACGTACTTCTCCTAATGCTCTC